ATCCCTCCGGGGCAGTGGTCACAGCCCCAAGCCTGACAGAGCTCAAGGAGTGTCTGGACAAGGCTCTTGGGCACATGGTGGGACTGTTGGGGTGTCCTGTGCAGGGCAGGAGTTGGACTCAATGGTTCTTTTGGGTCCTTTTCAGCTCAGGATGTTATGTGATTCTATGACCCTTTGCAACAGCTTAGGTAAGCAACTTCAGAAAGACTCAAAAAGGCCTTTTCCTGTATGAGGAGTCACCATCACTATTTGCAGGGCAGGAGTTGGACTCAATGGTTCTTTTGGGTCCTTTTCAGCTCAGGATGTTATGTGATTCTATGACCCTTTGCAACAGCTTAGGTAAGCAACTTCAGAAAGACTCAAAAAGGCCTTTTCCTGTATGAGGAGTCACCATCACTATTAAAGCTAAGTCACATCACAAGTTCTAAATGCTTCACAACAAGTTCAGGAGACCTCTGTGCATTGAAATCTGCCACTCTTGCAAACCCAAACCCCTTCCAGGTTCCCTAGGATCAAAACCAAACAACAAACCCCTTACATACCATACCTCGGACAAAATCCCTTTTAAGACTGCCAACGGATTTTCTATTTCTTTGGCATTTTGGGGATCTCTTAAAGCCTTAAAGGTTCTTCCCCCAGAGGTGTTTGGGCACTGGAACAGCACCCCAGGACAGCAGTCACGGCCCCAAGCCTGACAGAGCTCAAGGAGTGTCTGGACAAGGCTCTTGAGCACATGGTGGGACTGTTGGGGTGTCCTGTGCAGGGCAGGAGTTGGACTCAATGGTTTTTTTGGGTCCTTTTCAGCTCAGGATGTTATGTGATTCTATGACCCTTTGCAACAGCTTAGGTAAGCAACTTCAGAAAGACTCAAAAAGGCCTTTTCCTGTATGAGGAGTCACCATCACTATTAAAGTTAGGCTAAGTCACAAGTTCTAAATGCAAAATCTAAATGCAACAAGTTCAGGAGACCTCTGTGCATTGAAATCTGCCACTCTTGCAAACCCAAACCCCTTCCAGGTTCCCTAGGATCAAAACCAAACAACAAACCCCTTACATACCATACCTCGGACAAAATCCCTTTTAAGACTGCCAACGGATTTTCTATTTCTTTGGCATTTTGGAGATCTCTTAAAGCCTTATCTTCAATCAACCTATCCTCTTCTTCCTGGGCAAGAAAAAGAGACTCACTGCTGGCTGAGGTTAAACCACGACAACTCTTCTTTCACACACAGCTGGAAGGTGTGATTAAAGGCTATAGTAACATTAGCATGTGCAGTTTAGAGAAGGAAATGCTGCTCAACTCTCCTTGAGGTAAGGAATCCAAAGCCTAACTAAAACATTTGATTCCTTTGGATGCACATTCACCCACTACCTTTTTATACTTTCCTGAGAAGTAAGAACCTATCAAGCAAGGCACAAAAAACCTTCAGGACTTACTTGGAGTTGCCAGTTGCCTAATTCATCCACATCTCTGATATAAACATGATAGTGTCCTCCATAGCAGCCACCTTTGTGTATAATAACAGAGAAGAGCTCATACATGTACTCTGAATCATCCATTTCAGTCTTCAAAAAGAAAAACAGTAATTGTAACAACAACACGTGTCAGCAAGTCTTTTATACAAGGACAGTTTGACATCATCAGCTTCAGATACTTCTCAGTGTGTATCTGCACATGCAGAGATGAAAATGGCTTTTCTGTGCTTGGGGAACACAAGGACTGACACAACTCATGGGCCAAGGCATGGACTGATAGAGCACAGAATCATGGCATTGGTTGGGAGGGATCTTAGACCACCTCACTCCACCCCCTGCCATGGGCAGGGACACGGTCCACTAGCCCAGGTTTCTCCAAGCCCTGTCCAACCTAGCCTGGGACACTCGCAGGGATGGGGAGTCCACAACTTCCCTGGAAAACCCATGCTGCTATTAAGGAAGCTTCTCAGCATGATTCTAAACAGTACTGGAAATTCAAAATGGTAAAATAAGACATTGCTGATGCAAACATGTTTGCTCACAATCAGGAGGACTTTGTTTAAAAGACTGAAGAAAAAACAAGCTACACTTACACACACTAAAGCTGGAAAATAAAAGGCTTCCTCAAATGCAAATCCTGATACATTTCCAAGCTTGTATTCCAACACTTACATAAGAAAAATGTCAGTTTCACAACAGTGCCTCTCTTAAGTATGTTCTTTGAGGATCAAAAATTGTCATCAAGCTATGGTATGGCTCAGTGTATAAGCCAAACTATCTGCATGAATGCAAACAGACTCCCAAGGAAAACAGAGTAACTACAAGCACAGAGCACAATTTGTACTTCATGTCATCAGGCAATGACAAAACAAAAATCAGTTTCAATTTCCAGTTGATAATCCTGTCAAGAAAAGGTTAGATTAAGTTTTGGGTGACTATTATACCCTTTCCTCTTGTACAGATACAAACTATTTCCCACTTGGTTAGAAAGTAGGTCTTTTGGACACAAATTTGGAGCTAGAGACAGGAGAACCCCACACAGTTTCTCCACTATCTTGCCCTGACAAAATGCAAAACAACAATAACCTGTCCTTGCGGTGTGGGTTCTGTGCTGAGTGTGTGCAAACTTTACCAAACATTAGAGCACAAACCTGCTCACAAAAAGGCCTCAGATTGATCTGGATGGGGAATGTGTAGCAGCTCGTTTCCTTGTAGCGTTCACACTTCTCAAAGTCGAAGTTAAACCTCAGCAGGGAAATGGTGAGGAAGGGAGGCAGCTTGAGCAGCTTAGCTGACTGTAAAAAGATGTAAAAACACTGTAAGCACACAGTTAGTACAGGAAAAGTGAGCTATGGTCAACTCCTTCTCCTACACAGCTTTGTTCCAGCCAGGCAGCCATAACCAGTGTGTTCATTTTTAAAACCTCTTCCCTACTTCTCACTTTCCCCACCAACTAGACATCCTAAAAGTAATCAAGAACCCTCCCCTCTGTTAAGCCCTACATCTTCCTTGATTGGTGATCACCAGTCCCATGCTTCATCCTCCTAGAGAAAACAAAGGGCATTGGTGAAATCCCAGTCAGGGATGACATTTCCATATCCTACATGTTCTACCCTGTCAGCCACACAACAACCAGGAGTTAAATTCCCCTGAGGACCTTCCAGGCAGGAAAGCCAACACAAGCCAGTTCAATAAGGAAGAGTATTAATCAAGACTGAACAACTTGGTGCCTGAGCACATCAGGAACCCTTGGGAGAAGCAAAAGCAACAACCTTGTACCACCTCTGAATGCAAGTGTGGATCCAGTGGCCACACTTCTGAGCCTTTCCAATGCCTCCATCCAACCATCCATGTGCAGAGCTGTGAAAGAGAGCCTCCCAGGAACATGCACATGGTTTAATGAACCCCCTGAGCTAGGCATTCTCTTTGCATCCATTGTGAAGACCACATTGCCAAGTTTAGTGGCACAAAAGACTGAAAATTCCTATGTTCAGTGTGAAAAATCAGACTGCACCATTTGATAAAATCCTGGAATATGAGATTCCTCGATTAACAGCTGTAGAGGACATGACAGAAAAAGGAGAATAACATCCCCCAGAGTACAAAGCAGTGGTGCTGATACATCTCTCCTCCACACTACAGCCTGCCAGCCCAACCCTCCCTTTGAGGTTGTCCAATCCCAACCTGGCATCCCCCAGCTATGAGACTTCCTCCCAGAATTAAGAGCTACCACTCTCTCCATGCAGGGCTGAGCACGTTCAAGGCAGACAACTGTTATTTCGCACTCCCTTGAACCCTTACAACCAGACACATGAAGCACTGGCAAGTGTTCCTCAACTTCCAAGTCACTGATTAACGTGGCCTGACCTCAGCTTCCCTTTGCACTAACTCCCCAGAGCACTGCAAGGTTGGGTTTGCACACATTCTGCTGCAGTGGGCCAAAGAGCTTTCGTGCTGTGAAGAGGGCACAGTACACCGAGGGCAGAGAGCACCAACAGCCTGTGTCTGCTTCCCCTTGCAAAACTAAGAGATTAACAGATCCCATTTCCCTGAGCACAGCAACAGTTGTTCAGTATTTTTCCCCTTATTTGGGTTTTTCAGGAGAGAATTGCCATGGTTTTCTTTGTTACATGGATCAGTTTATTTGTCCCATTATGCTCCAGCTTATGTTTCACCTGATGCTCCAAAATGTCCAGAGCCAGGTGCTGCAGAGGTGAGGGAGGCAATGCTCTCTGAATTATACACCATCTCATGCACCACTGGCTGCATTAAAACACCGAAACAGCCAGGAAACAAGTCACAGGAGCTTTTCTTGACATAGTGGCTGAGGTTTCATAGAATCATAAAGTGGTTTGGGTT